AAGAAAATTAATGCAGTCACCACATCTACAGATTAGTAAAATGAAATATACTATATTTTAGTTTTTGGATTTATAGAATATTTAAAATATTATGTACTAAAATACAGTAAAAAACAATAAGGAAGACAGGATTTCCTCGTTATCAGAGCTCCCAAGACAAAAAAAAAAAAAAAAAAAAAAAAAAAAAGGATGGATGGAATTGCCTCTCCTCCAGCTAATGCTATAAAGAATAAACAGACCACATCACATGCCTAAATTCTAAAAAAAAAAATATACACACTGACTATGCAACATACAAACACAATGAGGGATAAATACCAGAACCTTGGATGACCCCAGTGCTGCAACATGTTGGCTTGTGCTTGCACTATCAGGGAGTTTGGAAAGTCTTTCTGCAGACTAAGCAGAGCAGAGTCATTCCTGACACAGAAAAACAACACAGATACTACACGACAGGAACAGTGCTTTACTGCTTTGTATGCTCTTATTTGTGTGTGCAAAGTCCTTGATAAGAACTAATGGCAAACCTAAAAGAACGGTCCCTGTCCAGTTTACAGAGTACAAAGTTCATACCCATTAATGCCAAAGTAAGGCTACTTTCACATGTTCCCCAGATGGATTGAAACTCGGCCAGTTCAGAAGGGACCAGGCAAATTTTGATCCGTGTGTGGCCACTGCTGCTCAGGGGAAGTCAGTCAATCTATCGATCGACTTCTGTTGAACAGATCTGCTGGAAAAAAGCCGCTCGTCCAGCGGCCGCAGCACTGATCTGTGTATTCCAAGAGCGAATGAATCCCGCTGTTTGAATACAATAGCACAGTAGAAAAGATTCCCCATCCAATTCGATGGAGTAAATGGAGGAATCAGTTCGGAATTTTTTACTCAGCCTGCTGGCTAAACTAAAAACGGAGCCATGTATGGGCTGATTTTGATGCGGCAAACACAGCAATAGCGGTAACCTGCATGTAAGGCACATTTCACAGAGTACAGAGTGCAGAGAAGGGCAACCAAACTGATAAGAGGCATGGAGGAGCTCAGCTATGAGGAAAGATTAGAGGAACTGAATTTATTCTCTCGAGAAGAGGAGATTAAGGGGGGATATGATGAACATGTATAAATACTTCAGTGGTTCATATAGTGAACTCGGTGTAGAGTTATTCACCCTGAGGTCATCACAGAGGACAAGGGGGCACTCTTTACATCTGGAGGAAAAGAAATTAAATCTCCAAATACGGAAAGGTTTCTTCACAGTAAGAGCTGTGAAAATGTGGAATAGACTCAAGAGTTGGTTCTGGCCAGCTCAGTGGATTGCTTTAAAAAAGGCCTGGATTCTTTTTTTGATGCACAGAATATAACTGGATACTAACATTTATAGGTAAAGTTGATCCAGGGAATATCCAATTGTCTCTCGCGGGAACAGGAAGGAATTTTTTTCCCTGAAGAAGCAAATTGGATCATGCTTTGCTAAGGTTTTTTTGCCTTCCTGTGAATCAACTGTGGGTATAGGATTATAACTTTTTTTTTCTATGGTTGAACTGGATGGACTGTTGTCTTTTTTTCAGCCAGACTAACTATTTAGCTATGTAACATGTGTTATGTTGTGTTAATAAAGGCCACCCAAATGCCACCTCTAGTTTCCAGGGTTTTTTTTTTTTGTTTTTTTACAAGGGGTTTCTCTAAACACCTCAAAAAGGTGCACTGAATGGCCAAAAAAATTAGTCTATAGTATTTTTTCATGGCGTTCTGTGTGTGTTTTTTGAAGTATTGCAATTGAATTCAATGGAGAAGACAGGTTGCGGCAAAGCCTAGAGAGCGCGGCATGCCCTAAAATGCTTAATGAGACGTGGTTGTGTGTATTGTGTTATCTGCCTGCCATTCCTTTAATTAATTAGCGCGTTGCCAGGTGGTATTTGCTGCATCATTAACCCCGTGTGAAAAAAGCCTAATGCAGGCCATAGACGGGTCGAACATCGGCCGATTTTTCGAAGGAAAAAAAAAAAAAAAATCAGTCGTTCGTTCGACGTTACCACCAATGGTAAAAGGAAAAAAAAAAAAAAAAAAATCGGCCGGCAAAATCATAAAGTTCACCCCATAACTTTTGTCCCGTCCAGGCTCATGCGCGGATTTTTTATCAGTAAAACGATCGCCCGATTTGCCCATCATTGCTGGGAAAATCGGCCGATCGTCAAAATCGGACGCAAATTTTCCAACATGACCAATAAAAAAAAAACTGCGAAAAACGGCCAACCAATTAACCCACTAACAGTGCGAAAATCATCCGATTTTTTTTCGGACTAAAAATCGTCCGATTTTTGACTCGTCTATCCTCAGCATAAGGCTACCTTCACAATGAGGAGATTTTAAAGTGCTTTTTGCATTAAATAGGAAAAAAAAGAAGCGCCTGAAAAGCTCAAGTAAAATGCTTCCCTATGTATGTCTATGTATGTTTTCACACTGGGGCATTGCACTTCCATTGTGGTGTAAAAACTCGTGCTTGGAGCACCTTTGGAGCATGTTTGCTCAGTTAAAATCAATGGAAGTTTAAGTCAATGGAAAAACGCCTGAAAAGCACCAAAAAAAATGCCTCTGAATAGAGTTTTTGGTACAGTTTTTAAGTTGCGTGTCCATTAAAAAAAAAATGGCTCACAATGCGTGGCAAAAGTGTGGAAAAATCTTCTAAGCGTTTTTGCGGCAAATCAGTGTGAAAGTAGCCTAACAAGTTATCTTTAGAAAAGGATTAAAGCACATAATTCCCTCTCTTCGTGTTTTCCATCATCCAACACGGCCACTGAAGAGCCTCACAAACGCACTCTAAACCTGGCCATAGATGGCTCGAATTTTGGCCTATTCCTGCTGAACTGGCAGAATTTTGGTCATGACTGGCCCTGCAAGTGCCACCCAAATCTGGAAAAGAAAAAGCAAAGTGGTGCTTGAGCCACAGTTTTACCGCCGCCCCGCCTTCCCTCCAGAATTATAACAGTATATCCTGACATATGCTACAGCTGTGACAATTTTAACTTGAGCTGCAGATTTTGACAGGCATCACCACCTGTCAAACACATCCACTGAGGCCAATAGGCCACACCGTAACGCGCAGTACTGAAATGTAAAAATTGCTATCTAGCAATTTAAAAAAATAGACGCCAGGCAATTTTTTCAAGCTGCTGCTATACCACCAGGGTGGATAAAAATCAATGATTTTTTTTTTAAAAATCAAAAAAAAAAAAAAAAAAAAAAAAAAAAAAAAAAAAATTGGATTTTTTTTATTTAAACCGGATTTTTTTTAATAAAATGCTTTTTGAGGAAAATATATTACCATCCAAAGGTTATTCCATCATGAAATAAATATTAGTTTTTTAATTATGTAGAATAAGGCTGTCTATGTTTAATTTGTTTGGTAAATAAATTCCATGAATCCATTCACAATGTCATGCTCTTCCAGAGGTTTTTGTAAGATTATTGGGCAGTTTCTCTGCCTACAAGATATTATCACAGATGCTTGGTTTACTTTTGCAGTTCTCAAAACTGAATTTGACTCAACGGAGATCACATGCCTCTTCTTCACAGCAAAAATGTTATAACATGAACAGAGTTAAGAAAAAGACCTTCATCCTAACTTCTACAAACCTATGAATACAGAATCAACCCCTTCAGTGCTAAGTTTCAAGAAGTTCAGTGAATAGAACAGAAACAATATTTTTCTGATTGTTTGGAGTGGAATAGATCTTCACAAGAAGAAAGTGAAACTAAGTGTGAGGAGGAAGGGGCTGACAGTCTAAGTTTCTTAAAATATATATAATTTGTTTAGGCAAATTAGTTAACAAACATGGATGTTTGTTTAAGCAAATAAGATATGCTGGAATGTTATTGTTTCAGATGAATAAATCTATTTAAATTGTTATTATTAAGGTAATGATTATTTTTCTCCTTCCTAAGTACAACAGAAAAGTTGTCCAAATATGAATGATTAACCTATTAAACTGGGGATGAAAAAAAACTAATATGAAAAGTTGTTATTCTAAAAATCTTCATCTACTTGCATATTAAAGTTATACCAGCAAGAATTAGTCTTTATGTAGAAAACTATGATTTAAATCAAGCCTTACTGACTAGTGATTTAAATCGTGATTTAAATCAGTTTGATTTAAATCAAATCCACCCTGTATACCACCCTCTGAAAAGCAGTCCGATGTCAGTAGCTATTCAGGGGTTCATCTAAAAGAGTCTCAAGAATAGGAAAAGAAAAAGGTTCAGCTAGGTTACAATGCTGCCACTCCCTCTCCCAGTCTGGGTGCTGCTGGATAGGGGATCATAGCAGGCAGATATTAGCAAAGATTCTCTGGATTCAATTGTAACTTTCTATACCAGTCTGGAATTGAAATCTCAAGTGTTCCTGTACTAATAACCCTGCTGGGCATCCCTGTAGTGGAAGCGTACTGCTGAGGACATATGATAATAGGTGAGTAGTGCAGAAAAATCTGGGGTTTTTTTTGTTTTTTTTTAACCACTTGCCTACCAGGCACTTATACCCCCTTATTTACCAGGCCAATTTTCAGCTTTCAGCGCTGCCGCACTTTGATTGACAAATAGAGCTTTCTTTTGGTGGTATTTAATCGCCACTGGGCACTTTACTTTTTGCGCTAAAAATAAAAAAAGTGTAAAAAATTTGAAAAAAAAAAAAAAAGTTTCTTTGTTTCTATTATGAAATTTTTCAAACAGGTATTTTTTCTCCTTCACTGATGTGCGTTGATGAGGCAGCACTGATGGGCACTGATAGGCGGCACTGATAGGCAGCACTAAAGGGCATTGATAGGCAGTACTAATGAGGTGGCACGAACAGGCGGCACTGATAGACAGCACTAATGAGGTGTCACGGATAGGCGGCACTAATATGCAGCACTGATAGGCGGCACTGATAGACAGCACTAATGAGGTGTCACGGATAGGCTGCACTAATATGCAGCACTGATAGGTGACACTGATGATGGGTACTGATAGACGGCACTGACTGGCATCACTGCTGGGCACTGACTGGCGGCACTGACTGGCACAACCCCTGGGCACTGACTGGTGGCACTGACTGGCAGCACTGCTGGGCTGCACTGGTGGGCAGCACTGGTGGGCACAGGTGGGTGGCACAGGTGGGTGGCACAGGTAGGTGGCACTTCTGGGCACAGGTGTGTGACACTGCAAAGTGGCACAGGTGGGTGCACTGCTGGACACAGGTGGGTGATCTGCTGGGCACAGGTGGGCGGAGCTAGTGGGCGCACTGCTGGGCACAGGTGGGCGGAACTTGCGGGTGGCACTGCTGGGCACCGATCATCAGGGCACTGATCATCAGTGCCCTGATGATCGGTGCCGATCCCCGCTCTGACAACTGCCGGTTCTCGGCAGTACTTTCCTCACGATCTGACAGCGTGAGGAAAGTGCAGCCGAGAACCGGCACTTGCATTTCCCTCTGATCAGCGTGTCATTGGACACCGCTGATCAGGTGGTAAAAGGCCGCTGTGATTGGCCTTTTACCACATCACGTGATCAGCTGTGTCCGTAGGACACAACGATCACGGAGATCGCCGGGTGCACGCCCCCTGGGGCGCGCAGGAGAGCACGTTCTGGGAGGACGTCATATGACGTCCACTCAGAACTGGCCGGCCGCAGTGCAGCCGTCATTCGGCTATCTGCGGTTGGCAGCTAGTTAAACAGCTAGGCAGCCATAAAAAAGATATACAGTTGCAAGAAAAAGTATGTGAACCCCTTGGGATTACGTGGAGTTTTGCATGAATTGGGCATAAAATGTGCTCTGAATGTCATCTAAGTCACAACAATAGAAGAACACAGTCTGCTGAACATAATACTACACAAACATTAGATGTTGCCATGGTTTAATTGCACATAACATGTAAACATTCACAGTGCAGGGAGGAAAAAGTATGTGAACCTTTGGACTTAATAACTGGTTGACCCTCCTTTGGCAGCAATAACCTCAACCAAACGTCTCCTGTAGTTGCAGATCAGACCTGCACAACGATCTGGAGTCATTTTGGACCACTCCTCTTCACAAAACTGTTTCAGTGTAGCAATATTCTTGGGATGTCTGGTGTGAATCGCTCTCTTAAGGTCATGCCACAGCATTTCAATCGGGTTGAGGTCAGGACTCTGACTGGGCTACTCCAGAAGGCGTATTCTGTGCTGTTGCAGCCATTGTTTTGTTGAATTACTTGTATGCTTTGGGTCATTGTCCTGTTGCATCACCCATCCTCTGCGGAGCTTCAGTTGGCGGACAGATGGTCGTACGTTTTCCTGCAAAATGTCTTGATAAACTCTGGAATTCATTTTCCCATCAATGACAACAATCCGTCCAGGCCCTGAGGCAGCAAAGCAGCCCCAAACCATGATGCTCCCTCCGCCATGTTTCACAGTGGGGATGAGGTTTTGATGTTGGTGTGCTGGGCCTTTTTTTTCTCCACACATAGTGTTGTGTGTTCTTCCCAAACAACTCAATCTTGGTTTCATCTGTCCACAGTATATTCTGCCAGTAGTGCTGTGGAACATCCAGGTGCTCTTTTGCAAACTTCAAACATGCTGCAATATTCTTTTTGGACAGCAATGGCTTCCTCCGTGGTGTCCTCCCATGTACTCCAGTCTTGTTTAATGTTTTCCTTATTGTAGATGTGTCAACAAAAATGTTAGCATGTGCCAGAGATTTCTGTAGGTCTTTAGCTGACACTCTGGGATTCTTCTTTACCTCATGCAGCATTCTGCGCTGTGCTCTTGCAGTCATTTTTACAGGACGAACACGCCTAGGGAGAGTAGCAACAGTGCTAAACTTTCTCCATTTGTAGACAGTCTGTCTTACCGTGGACACATGAACATCAAGGCTCAAGGAGATACTTTTGTAACCCTTTCCAGCTTCATGCAAGTCAACAATTCTTGATGGTAGGTCTTCTGAGAGCTCTTTTCTGCGAGGCATGGTTCACATCAGACAGTGCTTCTTGAAACCAGTAAACCCAAAACAGGTGTGTGTCTTTTAAGGGCAGGGCAGCTGTCAGCAACATATCCAATATCATCACACTGATTGGAGTCAAGGTTGGCTCACTCCTGGCTCCAATTAGCTCTGGGAGAAGTCATTAAGCTAGGGCTTCACATACTTTTTCCTCCCTGCACTGTGAATGTTTACATGTTATGTGCAATTAAACCATGGCAACATCTAATGTTTGTGTAGTATTATGTTCAGCAGACTGTGTTCTTCTATTGTTGTGACTTAGATGACGTTCAGAGCACATTTTATGCCCAATTCATGCAAAACTCCACGTAATCCCAAGGGGTTCACATACTTTTTCTTGCAACTGTATAGTCTGGAGTTGGGCTTTAACAAAGGCAAACTGAATGGACTCAAGTTTCAGTATTGGCTAAACATCATTTGTAGTTTTCAGATTCATTTCACGTGTTGCCTGGAACTGCTGTATAAAACATTCTGCTTTATACCTGTAATCAGCAAGACTTCCAATCCTATTTGACAAGCATCTTCAAACCTGCGAACCTCGGGAAGATCACAATAAGATAGAAGTTCAGAAGAAGTTCTTTGTAGTCTTTGTGACAACCAACTCATATAGGCTGCTGTGAGCAGGAGAATAAACAGCAGGGCTTGTCATGTTAGTGTGACAAAGAAGGCAAGAAAAGCTTTTAATTTTTAATACGGGGGCATCGTTAACAATCTCTATTAAGGAGAAAAATATTGACTTTCTTTTGGAGCATTACTGTTTCTTTGTAATATCACCTGCTAGAAGACTCAAAAATAGAACAGAGTCTGAAAGCTTGGTTTCCACAACCATTTACAAAGCCAATGGGTGGTCAAGAGAATCTAACTTAAGGCTACATACTAGCCTTCAAGCTTTGGAAAAAACAAGGAAAGGTTACATCTCTTGCCCCATTGTAATTGCTTTTTGTGATCCTACTTGGTAGATTCACCCTCTCTATGTGTCCTGGTGACTGTGGTCGCTAGAGATGGGCTCAGGTGCCCTCCAAACTCACTTTCTTCCATACTTTAACACTGCGTTCCCTTATGGTCCAGATGAAAGCCAAGTCATTCAGCAGCCTGCAGCACGTGTGCCGCAAAGTGGTCAAAGACTCGGTCCGCAGCCATTTGGACTATTTAAAAAAAACACCTTTGAAGTTCGGATAGTTTGAAGTTTAGAGGACACCCAAACTAGGGCAGCACAGTGGCTAAGTGGTTAGCATTTCCGCCTGGCAGTACTAGGGTCGTTGGTTCAAATCCCAGCCAGTGCACCACCTGCCTGGAGTTTGCATGTTCTCCCTGTGCCTGCCTGGGTTTCCTTCGGGTACTCCGGTTTCCTCCCACACTCCAAAGACATGCTGGAAGGTTAATTGGCTCCTGTCTAAATTGGCCCTAGTATGTATGAATGTGAATTAGGGACCTTAGATTGTACACCCCGTGTGTGTGTGTGTGTGTGTGTGTGTGTGTGTGTATAGCGCTGCGTAAATTGATGGTGCTATATAAGTACCTGAAATAAATAATAAATAAATCTCTAAATGTCACCTGCACAAAAGAGGATGTGAAATTCAAACTTTTTTTTTTTAGTTGTCACCAGAACAAGTTTAGAAGAGATCGTTTCCAATTAGGTTAACTTTCACAGTGTGAACTGGATGTTGTGGCACATTGCCATCTACTGTATACTCAATGTAGCCCCCAGCACACATGCTGTATACAGTACACCCTGGGAAGGCTACATCACCAATGCTTTCCATCTCAGATCACACACATAGGTGTAATTGCTGCATAAAATGTTACTTTCATTGCACTGCCAAACCAAAAGCACTATATTGTACTGTATAGTAAATACAATCATTACACCCTGTTCCAAATTATTATGGAAATTATATTTCTCATTTACCTAAATAATTGATGTAAATAACAGTCAGCATAATTCTCATGTTATCAACTATTAACAGTACAATTCACATTTTATTGAACAAACCTCCTAATGATAACAGTATTTTTTTTTAAACAAACAACTTCCAATGCACTGTTCCAAATTATTACGCACAGTAAGTTTCAAAACACTTTATAGGTTGTAAAGAACTGAAAATTGTCATTTGTTGTGTTTGCAGCATATTTACTGAAATCAAAAGCTATTTCAATCAAACTTTTAACAACATTTTAACTTTTTAAACATTTTAACAGGTCACGTTACATTTTAACATAGGACCCCTTATTTGATAGCAGCTTCACAAGTCTTGCATCCATTGAACTTGTGAGTTTTTGGACAGTTTCTGCTTGACTTTGTTTGCAAGATGTCAGAATAGCCTCCCAGAGCTGCTGTTTGGATGTAAACTGCCTCCCACCCTCATAGATCTTTTGCTTGAGGATGCTCCAAAGGTTCTCAATAGGATTGAGGTCAGGGGAGGATGGAGGTGTTAATTATCACAGGTGTCCGAGATTGTTTTCAGTGATCAAAAGAGCCCTGACACACAATGCCATCCAAGAGTTAAACTGAAAAACAAAATATTTAATCTTTGTGACACTTAAACAGAATTTGCATAATAATTTGAAACAGGGTGTAGACTTGCAGTATCCTTGCAGGTGCATTCACACCTGAGTGTTTTGTAGTGCAAAGTTCGAAGCTCCAAAATTCTCAGGTGGGGGAAAGAAAAAAAAAAAAAAAAAAAAAAAAAAAACACACAAATATTACTCCAAGTCGCCTGAAGCTCAAAAAAGTTTTGGGGGTACTTTTGTAGCTCAATTTGGGCAGATGTGCATGTTTTTTCGGCGCGCTTTTATTTCTATAGAAAAAAATAGAAATGCATGATTGACGCAATTGTGCGATTTTCTGCGCAAATGAAAAAAATTTAAAATAAAAAAAATAGTAATAGTATATGAATAAATAGATGTAAAATATATACACATAAATAAAAAAATCATGATTAATACATCAGAAATAATTAACCCCTAACATTAAATAATAATAACCCGAGCAAAAAAAAATACAATAATAATAATAAAAATAAACTATTGTATTACTTTTTTAGGTTTTGGGGTTAAGGTTAAGAGTTAATTATTGTTATTATTATTAATATACTAATTTACTATTACAAGTATTTGATTATTTTTGTATAATTATTTTACATTTATTCAGTTATTATTGTATTTTTTTGTTTGGGTTTAGATGTTATTATATTATTAATAATAATTTGCTTATTATATTTAAGGGTTAGGGGTTAACTACTATTAATACCTAGTATTTATTTATGATTATTTTTACTTGTGTATTTATTTTACATTTATGTATTCATTTTATTATTACCCTAACAAAAAAAATAAATAATGAGAAAATAATAAGTAAAATACTATAAATAAAATACTAAATTCCAACCCAAACCCAATCCTAACCTAACCACTCACCTTACCCTAACAAATAAAAAAAAAAAATGAAC